AATAATCTGTTTTTTAAAAACACTGGCAAGTCTATTGTTTATCCAATTATGGCAGAAGTTCTAAGTAAAGGCTTGTGTATAAATGTGTGTTTGGGAATCATCATAAATAAAACACTTTCAAATGAGTCCTGTGACTATATTTTTTAACCTACTAGCACTGTAGGATAAACACTAGATTGCTAACCGCAAGGCTGGCAGTTCAAATCCACCAGCCCCTCCTCAGAAACCCTATACTGGTTCACTATGATTCGGAACCAGCTTGATGACACCAAACAACAACATGCCCTCAATGAAGCCCTGGTAGTGCTGTGAAATAAGTTGTTGCTGTTAAGAGCCATCGAGCCGATTAGTGGGTAAGTAGTGGACTGTTAACCACAAGGCCAGCAGTTCAAAGTTACCAGTCACTCTAAGGGCAAAAGATGAGGCTTTCTGCTCTAATTTTAAAGTTTTACAGCCTCGGAAACACTATACAGGGTAGCTATAAGTTGCAGTCCACTCGGGGATACTGAATTTGGTTTTTGTTTTTATTAAGTCTTTGATAATGATCATCCAAAACAAGAAAATTACAGATTAAGAAGAATAAAATTAAAACCCAAAACTAACTGTCGTTATTGATTTACCAATAAACATAAGACCTTAGCAATCTCTTATTATAAGACTCAGTGACAGGCTGGGCAGGACCATAGTCTCAGGGGACACCATGGTCAATCGGCACAACATTGTCCTCAAAGATAATGTTCTTTCTGCATTCTACTTTGGTGAATAGCAACTAGAATCTTAAAAGCTCATGAGCAGCCATCTAAGGTGCAACTATTGGTCTCTCCGAATCTGGAAGAAAGAAGAGTGAGGCAAACTGCAGACACCTGGAATCAATTAGCCCAATGGACTAATAGAACACGTGAACATCAGTCTCATGACTGAGACCCAAAGAACTAGGTGGTGCCAGGCTACCACCGCCAACTGCTCTCAAGGGAATCACATTAGAAAGTCACAGAAAGAGTGGGAGAAAATATGGAACAAAACTCAGAATTATAAAAAAGACTAAGCGTACTAGTAAGAAAGAGATTGAAGGCCCCTGAGACTATGGCCCATGGCCACTCTTCAGGTCTAGAAGAGAACTCACCCCTGTGGCCCAATTTTTAGTCAAGTGGTAGATAGGTATGCTCACAATGGATGTGCAATGGTTCTAAATCAAAAGGCAACATTTACCTAAGGATGAAGTTGAGAAGGGACAGTAAGGAGGGCGGAATGGAGATAAGATCCACAGGCAGAAGTAGAGTAACTCTTCCATGGAGGGAACTGCCATCACTGAGAGGAAATGAAGTGCAGGATTTGATGAATGGAAAATTGATACTCTGCTCTGTATACCTTCACTCAATTCACCATAAAAAGTTAAAAATTTTTTAAAGAAAAGTGACAAGGTTTCTTATTCTCCTGGAGAAAGTGTAAAAAGAAAGCTCAAGCAAACAGCACATTCTCTACCCAGAACAAAGCATCTGCTTCAGGTCCTTGCCTTCTGTCCTACTCTGATGCACTAAGCTGTACGAGTAGAAAAAAAGGACCCTGAACCTTCTTCCTTAAGGCTACACGGAGTGCAAGTCCCAAGCAGCCACCATTCTTTGCTCTGCTCTGGACTCCACCCTGACCTTCTAGCTGTCTAGACTGAAGAACTCCTGGCAAGGCTGGTGACTGCTACAATCAGGAAAATGACTGTTGGCATAACACCAATGGACGTAGGTAAAGAACATCCATGACTGATATGTAACTGTTGTTGTTGTTGTTAGTTGCCATCGAGTCGGTACCAACTCATAGCGACCTTATGCACAACAGAACGAAACACTGCCTGATCCTGGGCCAACCTTACTATCGTTGCCATGCTCGAGCCCACTGATGCTGCCATTTTGCCAATCCATCTTGCTGAGGGTCTTCCTCTTTTTCTCTGACCCTCCACCTTACCACAAGCGACTGGTCCCTCCTGACAATATGTCCGAAGTATGAGAGATGAAGTTT